GGAAATTTTTATTCATTATGAATACTTTATGCAAGTCAAAAAGTTTCTACTTTTCCTTAATGTATTGTGACTACTTTATGATTTTTTTTTGTCTGTTATATTTATCATATACAATAAAATCAAGCAAAGGCGCACATAATGCGTTTCTCATTAATATAAAGTAAAAAAATTTCAAACTGAGTAGTTGAGAGGTTTGTGAAATGTTGAAAATTCAAAGTCATGTGAAAGCGTATATACAGCAAAGGCCTTCTAGATAGAATTTATTCTTAGTTAAAAGATGTCCAAAATTTTGAGATTAAAATGATCATTTAAAGGTCTAATGTTATTTTTTTATCCATTCGCGAATGCATACTTTTATTAAGTAAAAAATTCTAATGGTGCATTTGATCCTCTAGTTTTTCAAAATTAAAGGATTTTGATCTATTATTAATATATAATATAATTACTAACTAGCTTTACATGTATATGAGTGATAATACTGTTAAGTACTTGTTCGCATAAAATATAACAATAAAAGTTAGTTTTAAATTCACTTATTCTAATAACCATGTTGTCGATTACTATTAATCTTAGATAATATATTATCAGTGTATAAACATTGTTTAATTTAAAAAAAAAACTGAAGAATGTAAGGTATAATTAAAATTTTATGACGATCAAAATAATACATCTGTAGAATTATAAAGATTAGAAGTAGATTTAGATTTTTTTAAGCATATTAGATTATTATTCGTTGTAATTTTTGCTTGTGTGTGGAAAGGGAAGTAAGGAAGGAAAAAGAGACTGGAAAGTGAAATTATTTGGATGGAGGGAAAGTGACTGGATATTAATGAAAAACTTTTGGTAGGTTTGACTTATAGGAAAATTAAATTAAATTAATTATATAATATCATAAATGATCAAAATATTATTAATTTAATATAAAAATGGATATTAACTAATACTTAAAAACAACTAATTGTTAACTAATTAATTTATTAATTTATTAAATAAAATTAAAATTGTAAATAAATTTATATATTCTAATTGAATTTTTATCAAAATTCCTTTTGGATACGTTAAGAATGTAAAATTTTTATGTTTTTTAAGTTGAATGTTTCCATTAACAAAATGTAATATTTCGACAACTTACTTATTTCAATGTTTTAAAGTATGTGATGTGTTTTCGTTAATATAGAAATGATACTGAAATTAATATAAAATAAAAAGTGATTCTTCTATTCTATTATATTTGTTATATTAAGATGATCATCTTGGTTAACGTATTGTTTGCATCATCACTATTTATAAAATATTTTTGTTATTTAATATATTTTTGTTATTTTACACATTTTTAATGAAAATAATATAAATTAGTATGATATTTAATTAATTAGAATATCATTTTATATTAATAAAATAAAATACATATTTTTTAACATGTGAAAATAAAAAAAATAAAATAAAAATAGTAATTATGTTGCAAAGTAAACAAAACAGTAGTAATCTAATTAAAAATATAAAAATATTAAATACTCAATAAATCAGAAAAATGTAATAAGTATTATATTAAAAGTATTAAAAAATAAATTATATATATTTATTGTAAATGATCGAGCTCACTATTTTATAATCCCTACCAAATAGCAAAAGACCATCTTATAGAAACAATCATTCCCAATGTTACGTAACCCTCTATGCCAGTGCCAAATTGCATGCTCTGGAACTCAAAATCCATTGGGATGAGAATATCTTTGTGAAGACCCGTAAGCTTGATGCAGATATAGATATAGTGCTTCTGTTCAACCCAATAAATATATTCAGGTCCACACTAATGTCTTTTGTTCTGTTTCTTTATTACAGCACCGAGGACACTTATTTTACTGCAAAATGCTTTCTCTTTTTAAAAATTCCTGCTTTTATTAGGTTTACAGACATTCACACATTTGGGTAGAAGAA